ACTGTATATATAAATATAACTGAAATCATGGTATGTAACAATAACTATTGGATTGTTTCATTGAATACCTTAATAAAAAGATTTAAACACAAATATCAGATCTCACAGCAAATGCCAGATATCACAGATTTTGAAAATCACAGACTGTGAAAATCACAGAAGAACATTGTTTCAAACCACACAGAGGTCAAGTCCTAACTTTCTAGGTCAGTGGTCTTTTCCAGTGGCGGCAATTTCACAGGCAATTGTAGACTCAGAGCACAAATTCATTCAAATTCAAGAGAAATAACGTCACTGTGACCTTTTAATACCATTCAGTCAGCACACTGCAGTAAAATGTTAGGGCATAAATTCACAACCATTTTCACAGGTTTTGTTTTTTTGTGTGAGCATCGACTCAGGACTGGTTCGTTTTTTAAAAAGACAAAGAATAGCACAACCAAAAGTCACAAAGAATCAAACTATAGATACCTGTTTCTTCATCAATTGAGAACCTTCCAAGACCACTTCTAGCATTGATAGAGTATCTGATCACTCCATCTCTGCTCTTGTCATCATCTTGAGCAGTCACCTGCAGGACACTTGTTCCATGCCGAGAGTTTTCCTTCACAGTGCCCCTCACTGCGATTTCTGAGAAATACGGTTCATTGAGGTTCTCATTGACATCAATGACTTCAACTTCAAGATAAGACTCGGAGCGAAGCTTAACTGGAAAACCCAAGTCCTCTGCAACCACAGAGAGATTGTAAAATTGTTGCTTCTCATAGTCCAGGTCTTTGGCAACCTTAATGGTACCACTTTCAGCATGGATCTTAAATGTTCCATTGAAATCATTGGGCAGGGAGTATCTCACCCATCCCCCAGATCCAAGGTCAGGGTCTTGCGTTTGCAGCCAAGCTATAACTGCACCTATAGGAAAGTCCTCCAACACACGGCAACTGTAACTCCTGGGAATAAACATAGGGGCACAGTCATTTACATCCTCAAGGTAGACTCTCAGTGTTGTCTCTGAGAACATCTGATTCCCTCTTTCTGCCTTATCCCTGGCCTGAATTTTAAGGGTGAAATCCGAGATGGACTCCCTGTCCAAATGACTAGACACATAAATAGAGCCAGTCTCGCTGTTAATTGCAAACAAATGGGTGCTTGTTAACAAGGTGTATGAGACTTCACCGTTCTGACCGAGATCTTCATCTGAGGCTGTGACCTGGATCACTTCCGTGCCGATAGCTGCATTCTCTGGTATAATGGCAGTATAGCTCTCGAGGGAGAATTTTGGGCTGTTATCATTCATATCATCAATGTTAACTGTCAGCAATCTCCAGCTGGATCTCTGTGGAAGGCCCAAGTCATATATAGTTATGTTAAGGAGGTACCGATCTGATCGTTCACGGTCCAGTGGCTGATAGATGTATATTAGGCCACTTTCCATGTCAATATTGAAGCAGTTGTCAACGTTCCCATCTGACATGGCATACAGAATGCGACCATTAAAGCCTGTGTCACCATCATTTGTGTTCACTTGAAGGACACTTGTTCCCATGGGCATGTCCTCACGAACTACAATGTCTGATGGAAAGGATTCAAACTGAGGCGTCTGTCTGTTGACAGAAAATAGATCTGTGTAGCCTTCCTCCACTTTGGATTTGCTAATGGCAGTGGCTCTTTTCAGAAGTTTCTCAGCTAACTTCTGTGCAACTTTTGTGTCTCGACAACTGAAACTTCTTGCTGACATTCTCCCTTTGACCAATGATATATTTACAAAGGTGGGTTCGGAGAGCAGCTCGCCATCTGAAGCAGCTATTTTTAAGTTGAATTGTTCATTATTTACACTCGTTGCAGATAGTGGTCTTCTCAATGACAACATCCCCGATTCCGGGTTAAGAGTGAAAATATCTTGCTCATTTCCAGACAGAATCTTATATTTAACCAACCCAAGCTCATCAATATCAATGGCAGACATTATGATGATCGTTTGGCCCACAGGAAAATCACGTCCTATCGTACCTTTACACGACACACGCTCAAAAAGGGGTTGGTTGTCATTAATGTTCAACACTTGTACAGTGACATTGACTTCACTTTCTCGTCTGTAAGGCGATCCCCAGTCTGAGGCTCGGATGGCGAACACGTATGTCTCCAAAGACGATTCAAAATCAAGTTCTTTGGATGTCGTCAGTTCTCCAGTATTTTGGTTGATGATGAACGGAAGGGGCTGAAGGCTGGCTATGCTGTATGTTATGCACCCATTATCACCTTTATCATCATCCACCGCTGATACAGTAAGAATGCTAGTGCCAATGGGGACGCTCTCATTGATAGAGACTTCGTAAGATGTGCTGGTAAACACTGGGCAGTTGTCATTAGCATCCTCAACCGTGATTTGCACTTTTGCTGTCATGCCACTTACTGTCTCCATCACCTCTAAATCAAAGAGCTCCTGGTTTAATGTGGTAAACTGTTGCACTGTTGAGATGACACCAGTAAATGGATTAATGATAAAATAAATTGAATCTGAGGTCAGGCTTAGAGCATAGCTGACGACGGGTGGACCTGGAGATATCCTCACAGTCTCTATTATGGTCCCTTGTGGTGCAATCTCAATAATTGAGGTTTTGTAAATCTTCTTTTCGAAACTCACCTGCACAGACTGTTTTTTTTTCACAAAGAGCTGAACAGACTGAGTGTTGGAGAGTCTTGGTGGTGTTCCTCTGTCTTTGGCTTGAAAAGTGAGATTGCAACCATAAGGAAATTTGTCCCAGTTGACTGGTTCAGACATTTTCAGCTTGTACTCATTTCCAAGTGGAGCTCTGTCAAAGACAAACTGCTCCTGTGGGTCACCTGCGATGATGGCAACCCATTCAATTTCTCCATTGGGTCCCTCGTCCAAATCTTCTACAGTAACAATGGCGTAAACTGGCTCTTTGTCTGATATTAAAGGGTAACAAGTGACTGCAGTCAGTGTTGGAGCAAACTCATTGATACGCACAACACTGATCACTAGTTTGGCTGTACTGCTAATACCACTGTTCCCATAAACCTTCATTCCCCGATCCACTGCTAAAACCTCAAGGTCAAATCTGCTGTTCTTATCTGCATTTAGCTTGGCTGTGAGCGATACCACCCCACTGGTTGGGTGGACAGCAAACTCCTCCACGTCTCCTCTAAAGAAATAGTAAAACTCGCCATTGGAGCCGATGTCTGCGTCAGTGGCGGTCACCTGAGCCACACTTGCTCCCAGTGGAGCACTTTCTGAAATATCAGTGGCATAGGAAGTGGGAGAGAACAAAGGTCGGAGGTCATTCATGTCCATAATTTGCACATTAACTGTCACGTAAGCCTCCAGCCCGCCTTTACCGGTAGCCTTCACTGTTAATGTATAATTATTCTGCACTTCGCGGTTCAGGATGGCAGCACTCCCACCATTAGTCCGTATGCGGAGAAAGCAAAAGTCCCCCAACACAAATTCCTCAGCCTGAAACAGCCCCTCATCGTCTCCAGATTCAATGTAATATTTGATGTCCAAAAGACCCAACTTAGATAGAGGAATCCCCATTTTAACGTCAGTCCTAATGTATGTCCGAGCTGCAGAGTTCTCATAAATGGTGGCATTGTAGATGGAGGTGGTAAATTGCAAGGAGGACCTTGGCTCCTGCAGTTGCCCCAAACCAGGAAGCAGGTGGAAGAGCAATAAGGAGAAACTGGTGAGATGGATCCTCATACTCCCCCCAGGGCAGCTGTTTATAGCCATGCCATCATCCAGTTATCCTGCAAAAAAGAGATATGCCGTAAACCATTTCAATCTAGGGCATTCATCTCACAAAGACATATCCTATTGCTCACATAAATGTGAGGGCAGTTATTTATTAAGAAGCCCTTCGTTTGGATTAAATTGTCAAAAAAATAAATAAATACCTGACCCTGTTCTCAATGAACTCAGTAATTCCCTTTCACAAAACACTGACAAGCGAGTTAGATGGTTAGATCTCACTGCAAGTTTGATAACAGCAACGAAGAGCAAAAATCAGGGTTAATAGCTATATATATATATATATATATATATATATATATATATATATGAGATACAGATAAAAAAAAAAA